CAGCACACCGAAAGAAAATTGTATTACTATGAAAATTCCTTATTAACGAATTTACTTGGATCATCTCACCGATTAAGGTAAACATAGCTTTGCAATTTTTCAAAATTAAGACAACTTCTACTTGTAAAACTTAAGATCATAAATATTTTAAATTCCTTGCCGTTGCTGCAAAATTTTTAAACATTGGTAAATGTCATATTACTAAAACAAGTATAAATTTCGATATTATTGAATAATTAATATCAAACAATTCAAGTCCTAGAGTATAACATATTTTGACTTATAGATCCTTCGAGTTAGAACTATTTTAATAGAAGAATCTCAGCCATATCACGTTCTTCAGACATGAAAGACACCCAATCGATCTTGAGTAATGGCATTATATTTTACCCTGCCTTCGAGGTGTAGCCACCTCTCTTTTTCTCCTATTTGCCAACCAATTGCAGGCACATTTCAATTTGATTTGTTGGCACCGCCGAAATGAACCGCTGCCTTGGCAGTAATCTCCACCCACCGAGCGCACAGGTAGCTACCCCTAAGTAAGAAAACCGCATGCGCAGGTTGAACAGGTAGAAATTCCCACTTGGCCAGCCCGAATCCTCCATTGAGGAACCTGTTTTATGGCCATATTGTTGGTCAGCACTCAGGGAAACTGTTTATAGAGTGTAAACAAAGCATAAAACTGTCAGTGGGCAGAGCTCATCGGCTCAAATGGAAGGTGTGAAAGACTAGAAATTAATTGAAAATGCTTAGCGAGCAGGAAAACTGGGGATGGGATGGCGCAAGCTTTTCGATTTTTTCGAGGGGAACGCCCACGATTGTCTCCCAATTGATAAGCCAGCTAAAGAGACGGATTAATTGCACATGTTCGGTGGAAACAGAGGCAACACCGCATCCATAAATTATAATTTATGGCTGTTTAAGCAGCTTCGTTTTCTGTGGGTGGAACTAAAAGCCCTCAAACAAGATAGTTCGGCTAATCGATCAGACGGTTGGGCACACAGGTTGGCCCACATGCTTTGCAGATACAAATGTATCTATATACTTTCTGGTTGTTTGCTTTTCTCTCTCTTTTTCCCTGGCCAAACCGAACTTTTTGATGGCGCTGGGCAGCTGCGACTGCGATGGATATTAATCGCCGGCTACATACGAATTTCTGTTCTCTGTTGGCTTTTTGGAAAAGTCGGGGGAAAACGCCAGGCAACTTGTACTAATTTTCCGGCTGCTCGGCGTGTGTTGTGTCGCATTTCGAAACGGCTCCAAAATGTCATAAATCAAACATTTCGCCCTGGCAAAAACCTGTCGCCTGTTATCACCTACGGTTACGCCCCTTTTGTTCACATATTTTTCCACATATTTATCTCAAAACTCGTGGCCACTAAATCAGCGCTAATTTCCACCCATCCAAGTTGTTTAGAATTGAATTTCGCCTTGTCCGAAATTAAACGTCTATCTGACTTTTGCATCTTTGATTGGGAATATATTGTAGTAGTCCCCCTGAAATGGGATTTCCTGTGGACTAATTAATCATTTCGGCTCCTGTCAGTGGATGTCAGTTTTATATGCTGGTGCTGTCGGTGCTGCCATTTATAACGCCAGACTCATCCTGCAGGACTTTCTCCACGCCAGCTGGTAATCGAAATTAAACAAACTTGGCCCCAAACTATCTGGCAACTGGCATGCAAAGATGATTAATTCTGCCGATGCCTATCTCAAGTGGAGTTGGAGATACTTTCCCCAAAAAATAAACACACTTCGGTCTTTGGCTTTAAATTGCAATTGAGCCGGGCGGAGGAAAAGCTGCAAAAAAGATCCTCAACAAACACAAAAAGACAATAAATCAATGAGGGGAAAGTCCTCTTTGATATCCTGCTGCAGAGTCCCTTTATTCCGTGTTCAACCTGCCGCAGCTTTGGGCAAATTATTTGCCACATTTTACTTTTATTTTGCATTTTTTCCCAAAAAGTAAATTGTTTGCCAATATTTTTTGCTGCTCTTTTTTTGCTGCCGCTGCCGTTGTGCACACAATTGAAACAAAGATAACTTTGAAACAGTTGTAAAGTGAAAATTGCATGGAATGCAGACCGCCTCCTTGTGAATATATATTTTTTCTTATTTATTTAATGCCCGCCGTGCTACCCCCGAAAAAAAGTGCCAAAAAATCGGCGCAAACAAAAGGGTGCTCCCCAAAATCCCCCTCCGAAAAAAAGGTGTTGCCAAAGGGCAGGCAAAATTGCAGCGCCAGAAAGGAGGCTCTAAAAAAATAAAGGAGTGAGCCCTCAGCAGGCACAATTTAACATGTAAACGATTTTGGTTAACGGGTAGCTGGAATCGAGAAAAAACCAGGAAAAGCCAGGGAAAATTCGGCGAAAAGGCAGCACTCCCCTCTGATTGGCGTTCAATTGCAATAAATTTCGCACAATTGCACAATAATTGTTAAAAGTTTTAAATAAACAAAAATAGTCAACAGCTCTATTGTGGTAACGGCAGCAGAAAAAGTTTCAATTGCATTCGATGGGCTTTATTTCGGAGTTTTTTCGAAGGGTGTACAATTTATACACCAACCGAGGACCGAGTGAATATCAATTAGCCAAGTTAAGCTGAACTTTGGTTATATTTTCTGAATTAATGAAGTAGTTTTCAGATGTTGAAAATTCTGCTTTTTAATTTGGTTAAAGAGTTAATTAAGAAATGCATTAATTGACTGGGAGAAAAAATATTAACAACATATATCAACATAACAAAAAAAAGAGTGTTTGTTTTGCAATCAATATTTTTATTAATTTCCCTGACTATTTTGGTTCCAAGAAATATCAAAAATATATTTAACTTAGAGAAGTATCTTCATTTTTCTTTGAGGGATAGGAAACCAAAATATGTCATGGATATCTTTTCCCCATTTTCACCACTCACTTTGAACACCTCCGTGGCATATTTCTCTAATTGCTTTCGGCTCGCCAACGCACTGCAACTCCAATTTCAAAACGTAGAACGCCCACACCTCGACATCACACGCATTTCTGCATATTTTTTCAAGGTAAATCGCAGAAATAGTTCACCCCGGGACACATATGTTTTCCCCTACCCTCCAGATCTACCTCCTATATATGTAGAGTGTATCGATACAGCGGGAGAAAAAGGACAGGGACATGAACACGGACACGGCTCGCTTGGCTATTAAAATTTCACACTCAGCAAAGCAAAATGCTACAAATAAAATAAACGTGGCAGCGGCAACTAGCAACGTGCAACGTGCAACATGCAGCATGCAGCACGCAGCATCAGCTTGCTGAACAAACAAATAAAAGCAAAAGGGCAGAAAGGCAGAAAGGAGAACTCTATTTATAGGAAATCGTCTGGCTCCGAATCTGCACCTTTGCATTTGCCACTTGAAGGGGCACAACGTGGGCACCTTTGTGCCCATTCGAAAAGTGGAGAGTAGACCAGGGCAAAGGTGCCACACTGAGAGAAGATACGATGTTTTCAAGGTTAAGTTGTTCGTTTTGTTAATACAGTAGATAACCATCAAGTAAACTTATATTCAATTTGAAGGAAAACGAACAGTTTGTAATTTTCATTATCAATATATATTTCAATTATATATTTTTCTTCCACTATAAATTCTTCTCAGTGCATCAATCTCTAGGTAGGTAAGTCCCCGAAAGAGTATTCCAATTTTAGAGCGATTATCGGGACAACTCCATATGCCGCTCACATGTGTGTTTAAAACCGATTGCCACTTGAGATCGGACTCGGACCCTCCGAAGAATTCCTTTGCGAGGCGGGGTTCTCCACTCGATTTCGCCCATAAATATTCGCACGTCTGTAATTCGAACGATTCAAAACAACTGAGTCCCAAAGCCTTCCCACAGGTTTTCATTTACAAATTAATTGCGACTGTCTGATAGTGTCGTTTTTCGGTTTTTTCGCTTTTCAACTGGCAATTAGCTACACTCAGAAAAAAAATCAAGTATTTCGTGCTTGAACCTAGTATTTTCGGTGTCAAAACTTCGCCAAGCATGGAAAATACAGAACCAAAGAACAAAATACTTCTTTCAAGCACGAATTTTCAAGTCCGCAAATTCTTGGTTTCAGTACGACTTAAGAATGCTGAGGATTAATATCAAGTATGGAGCTTTCTCAAAACAATAATAAAGTATTCTTAAGTCTAGACATATAGATACTTGAATTAAGTGCGATTTATATATAAATTAAGAAAATTTTAGGCTTGATTTAAGCACAAACAATTACTAAACCCAGTAAATTATACTCTTGAAGCTAGAGTAAAAATACTTAGTTCAAGAATATTTCATTTTTAAATTAAGACAATATACATTTTAAGTTAAGCAGGAATAATTATTATATTAAGATCACATCATGCCAGACCTAAGAACTGTTAGTTCTTAATACCGGATCCCCCATTCTTAAAACAAGGTATGGTAAAACTCAATTTCAGAAACTTTTATACGCTTAGGAAGTTATTGTTTTGATTTACATTTTATTGTACATGTTTATTTTACAGTTGTTACATACGCTTAGGAAGCTATTGTTTTGATATTCATTTTATTTTACATTTTTATTTTACATTTTCTATATACGCTTAAGAAGCTATTGTTTTGGCTTAAATTTTATTTCACATGTTTATAGTTTCTATATATACTTAAATTTAAGATACGATTTTCCATTGTTTATTGTATATAAGTGCAAAGGGAGAGTAGTTATTTCATTAATGTTTAAAATGCAAAATGTGTCGGATGGATAACCGATTTCATAAGAATGAAAATGTCTGTCAAATCGAATTAAATCTACTTCATTACATAGTACAAAAATATTGTCCTTATAACTAAAACAACTTATAATCTTTTATATACGTACATGTGGGCCACTTACTAGATTTTCATCAAAATATAAAAAATATTCGTTGATCTCACAATCGAAAGGACCAACTACAATAATAATAGGTTGTAATTTAAGACCCGAACTGTAATTCTTGTTTATGACTCGGTCCAATTGAATATCTAAGTCATTAATAGTTACTAGTCTCAGCACAAAACTCTCCTGCGCGTCCAGTATTGTAGCCTTCCTTGTACATTTTCCATCTTCATTCTTGAAGCGGGCTGATGAGGGCAAAACAGCATTCAGCAATGTGGCGGTTATGAAGTCCTGGGCATCTGTTATATTAGAATAGTTTATTATTATATATTTACAATACAAATAAAAGGTATAGTATTCGCTTTGTCAAAAAAGCGGGTATAAATATGATTAGTATTAGTATAAAAACAGTGAATCACAAAATAAATACAAAATTTTCTACGCTTAGGTATTAAATAACAAGTTCTACAGACCTATTCTTCTTTTTCATTATGCGGCTGCGGCGGTTCCTATATTTTGACAAATTTAAAATACTTTAAACCGTATTCATGTACTATTTTGCTAATAACGTACCTCAGACTCCTTCCATCTGAAGAGTTTTTGTCTAAACTCTATGCGCAGACCTAATGTCATCGGCGTTCATGTATTTTAGCTGCTCGATGTTTCCTTTTGCAGCTAAGTTGATGCGCATAAATAATTAAATTTATGTAAATATGTAAGTAAAGTAAAAATATAGGTTTAATTGATGATATAGACAAGGGAGTTAAAGTCTATGAACATACACATATTATTAGCTGGCGTCTCAACTATGTTAAAAGAGCCGGAATGGTAATACATAATGTTCATACATAGCGGTAAAACATTGTGTGTGTGTGTATATACATATTTGTGTGCGTGTGTACTTTTTGCGATTCAGAAACGCATTCCTGCCCTATTTGCTTTATAAATTATAAAATATGTCTTAACTTTAAATATGTATATAAAATGTACATATGTAAATACGTTTGTAATAAGCGGTAATAACATTTCCAGAATCTCAGAAATTCTGTAATGGGTTCTTTCACAAATAACTGTAAGCACGCGTTTCACGCGTAAAAAGAGCATACGTACAAACAAGTGTACATATATAATTTTGCCGATATTCGGCGACATTCTGTTTACAAAAAAAGATGAATACAAACACACCTGGACCTTTTTCAAGAAATAATGTAATTCCACGAAATTTGATAACTGTGCTGACCAGTACGCCACTAGTCGGCGTTTCTATTCCTATTTTTTTATGTAAACGGAATGTCGCCGAATATCGGCAAATTTATATATGTACACTTGTTTGTACGTATGCTCTTTTTACGCGTGAAACGCGTGCTTACAGTTATTTGTGAAAGAACCCATTACAGAATTTCTGAGATTCTGAAAATGTTATTACCGCTTATTACAAACGTATTTATGTACACTTTATATATGTACATATTTAAAGTTAAGACATATTTTATAGTTTATAAGGCAAATGGGGCAGGAATGCGTTTCTGAATCGCAAAAAGTACACACTCACACACATGTGTATATACACACACACAATGTTTTACCGCTATATATTAATATTACAATTGCACCAAAAAACGCGTGCTTTTCTTACCTGTTAGAAATGTATGCACTTCCTCAATTTCCATTTTTTTAAAAGTTTATATAGAGGATCCTCTCCACATTCTTCTTCAGCCATTTTGATCATTTTTGGTTTCACTTATGTATGTTGTATGTTCACTTCAATTTTATTCACAGTGCCGCGAAAACGCTTGGGTCAATTGAGACGCTTATATGACAAGTGTGACCGTTTCACGATTTTAGAAAGAACGGCGAGAACGTCAAGAAATCCAAAAGCTACGGTCAGCCGATTAAAATTTAACATTCATTAAAATGAAAAAAAATCTTTTTAAATTGGCATTTCAAAATGCTAGCCATAAATGTATGTAACTTTTATTAAATCAAATAATTTGATAGTCTAATCGTGCCCTTTATCGAAGAAGAAGATTTTTACACCCTTTGAGAAAAATTAATATTTTTTTACCTTATTAAATTAATTGCAAGTATATAAGGATGTTTCCAGTTATTACCTGTCTCAAATTTTTTAACCAGAACTTAATTTTTTTTTTCAAATAAACGTGCCAAGCAATGTTTGTGCTATTATTAAGTTCTATTCGGTCTTGAACTAAATATTATAAGTCTTAATTTGAATACTTCTGTACTTCATTTAAGAATTTTTTCTGCTTGATCTTATTTGAATCCAAATTGTACTCAACTTAAGAATTTTTCAGTACGAACGTTCTCAAAAAGTTCAGCATTAAATCGTTCTTAAGTCAAGGCTGTTTGTACTTCTTTTTAGCGCGGCGTTTTTCCCTGAGTGTAGCTCTGTACTAAGTGTTTTTGCACTCGCTCTCATTTGCAGGCAATTTATATCATAAATATGCTAACCACGTTCATTGACTGCAAATGAGTGCAGGCCCCGGAGGTCTGTTTATAATTAAGTGCTAAAATTTATGTTTATTTGCATTAAATATCATCGAAACCCCCCTCCCCACCGCTTGGCCAGCAGGCGCCACCTGTCGTCCATTTGTCTGCAACTGCGTCAGCAATCGCTAAACAATTTTCTGGGGGCTCCGAAAGAATTTCCCTCACCTGATGGGAAAAGCGCGGAAAATTGTCGTGACAATCGGCTGTCAGTGAAATATTAAAAAACACTTTGCCCACTGACAGGCGGGGGAAAAACTGAGGAAAGTCAGGTGGAAAAATGGGAAAGGAAATAAATTATACGATGAAAATATAATTTTCAGAAGCGAAAAACGGACCAAGAGAAATAAATAAATTTGCATTAGCCTGGCTTAGTCGAAATATGTCTGGCTAATAAAAGTTGGCAATAAAAAAAGCACATACAATTAGTGGGTGTATCTTGAATGTCTCTATTCTGCAGATACAAATGTATCTTTTCTCGGTTATTTTGCCATTGATTTACGCCGCCTGCCCATCTACGTATTATTTATAATATTCCCCTATATATTTTTGAATATTTTTGGGTGCCCGTGTTTTCCACCGCACAGGTGAACCAAAAAAAAAGCAGCTAAAACAAAAGCAAACTCTTGACATCATTTCAGAAGATTTCCCCTCGACGAGATTTCGATTGCTGGCGTTTCTGTTTTTTTTTTGGCAACGTGTGGCCGCCCATAAATTGCCCCAGAATTCCTCCCCTCCTAAATCCAAAATATATAAAAGTTTAACTGCCCCAATCAACATTCTAATACTGGTATATTAATATCTTTACTGTGTTTCTGGGAATTATTTAATAAAATCTCCGGTGCACAAATCTTTCAATCGTTGGCCAATACATTTTTGGATTTAATTGAAACTTGCATCTCCTAGCCAATTTATTTCATAGATTAAAAATACCTTCTCCTTTGAACAATTCGAATGTCTGGCACTCTCTTCCGATTTTTCGCCCCACACCTAAACACTATCAATCAACTTCAATTGGTTCGCGTTAAGCGCAAAATAGTTGAAAGCCCGGGGGAAAATGAACTGAAAGATGAGACCAAACATATAAAAATATACGAAAAAAACGCTCGAGTTCCGTTCCGCAGAAACAAATACAAGAAATTCCTTTTCATTTCGTTTCGGCTGCGCATAAATTGAAATTAATTTGCGGGACACTTTCAATATTTCAATACCGTAACGGAGCGGAAAAAAATAAAAGTGTAAGAGCGATTGCGTTAATAATTCCTCACTCGAGTCGAGAAGAGCCGGTTATGAAGAATTGATTGGGCTAAATGAGCTGGTGACACACTTGTTGAGTTTCACGTTGAGTTCCCCCGAGCACATTTTCCTTTGGAGCACATTATGTTGATGAAACAAAATGTAGGCCCATAAAAAAGTGTTGTCTTTTACAACTTTCAATAAAAATGTCATTAGCCGGGCCAAGCAAAATAAATTCTTGGACCCGAAACTATAGGCTCTCTCTGTTAAGAAATGAAACCTATAGATACACGTCAGCTGTTGTCCTATAATATCTTTTAATGGCTTCTTAAGTGATAAGGTGGGAGGAAACATCATAATCATCACGATCATCACGTTTATAATTCCTTTTTGATCGGAACCCGCATCGAAATCAATTAAGATTGCAACTATTGAAAGTGGAAAACGTGCAATGAACTTTCGTAGATTGCGCTTGATTGAACCGACAGCCCTCAGATACAGATACTTCTGGCCGAAAGGTGGCGATAAAACAGGGTTCATTCATTCCAATGCCCGTATGTGAGTATCTGGGTATCTGAGTATCTGTCTTCGTCTGCCGCCAGTTAATTGGCTTAAATTAAGGTAGCGATCAAATGGCAAGGAGAACAAAGACTCGCTTTGTTGTGCACTCTGTATACTCTAAATACTCTACAAGAAGAAACAAACAGAAAACCCCGGAGAACAGAAACTCCATTTTGTGAAGTACGAACATTCTACCTTCTCAGATACAGATACAAAGTTTCAGAGCGCGAGTGAGAGGGCAATTGAGTGACCCTCGGGGAACAAAGCAATCTTCTTCTGGTTCTGGGGACGGGACGTCTTCCCTCTCTTTCTACTCTTCTGCAGCCCGTCTCTTTCTTCGCTTCGCCATGGTTGAACGCTTTTTTCAACTGATTAAGTCAACTCTTCTCTCTCTCAAGTGCGCGTGTGTGTTCTTTAATTCTTCCACTTCTTTTTCCCTGGTTATTTCTGCCGTTTCTGTTTTCTTTTCGGTTTCTTTGGCGGATCGAAAGAAACCATGAGATCATCGCCTCTCCGGATTTCAGCCTTGCGTGAAGGCCTGCGAAGTTGATTTGCCACGAAATTAAGTCGATCCACCAGTTCTTGGGAGCACAGTACGAAAATTTGGATCATTATACATGTAAAGATACTTTTTCATATCATTTGGTTCTACAATTTCGAAAACAATGTATTTCTGCACTCTGAAACCTAACATCAGTTCTGATTCTGTCAAATATTGCATATTTTGAAACTCAACTTCCTAAGAAAGCTCTTAAATTTCTCTATGTGGAGTCTGCAGCACCTCAACCCGATTTTTGCCCCACTCACACCATACTTCTCATTTGGTTTTCGAGTTCCCTTTGCCATATTTTATGGTTCTTAAACGATCTGCCAGTTAATTTGTTTTTTCCCTCTACTCTTTTCTACTCCTCAGTTCCCTCGCTGGCCTCCACTTTGCTCCACCACAACCAGTCGCCGAAGCACAGCAATCCGGGATCCACTGGGATCCAGGATGCCCATCCCAACCAGCCAGGTGCAGCTGCAGATGCCTTTTTGGTCAAGTGCACCCAGTGCCACAAGCGATTCACAGAGTTTCAGGTGAGTTTCAACAGAAGAAAGGGATAGATGTAACTGAATTGGGGTACTTCTTGGACGTAATTTAGTATTTTTCGGAAACACCAACTTTGAACTTATTTATTATTTGTTGTTAAGAATAAAAGTAAATTCTCCATATCCCCATCCCCTTATATAAATGTAAATGTTGTTCCTAACCTTATCAGCTAAAAAGTCATGAAACGTATGTTTTTCTGTTTCTAATTATTTCATCAACTTTTTGATGATTTTATAAGAATGTTGCATACGCATTTCATGGATGAGTAATTCCTTTTTGGCTGTAAGATTTAATTATGCGTAGCTACGAAAATATTAAAATGTAAAACAAAGACTTACGAAGTTGGTGATTGTATATAGCTCGAACTAAAATATTAAGGTTCAAGATAAGGTGTTTCTATTTATACTCAGCTTATTCATGAATCAAAATGTGATATTCCTTGTATTTAATATTTATATTTCATTTGCTTTTTTGTAGTCCCTCAGCGAGCACATTGCCAGTGAGCATCCCCACGACAAGCTGAACTGCGGAGCTGCTCAGCCGGAAAGCGATGCCGAGGATGAGCAGAGCAACATGAGCGGTAGCAGTAGGCGGTACACCAAGTCGCCGGTGAACAGCAGCAACAACAACAACATTGGCAACAGCAACAACCAGTCGAGCAACAACAACAACAGCGAGCTGGCCAAGAACCACAATAATACCAACAAAATGTCGCCCATGTGCTCACCTGGATCGCTGACCCCTGGCGACCTGTTCGCCCAGCTGCAACACCCCCGCCCCAGTTGCCACCCCACCTGCACGCCCAGTTTATGGCCGCCGCCGCCTCCCTGGCCATGCAATCCGCCCGATCCGCCAGTTCGCCCAGCCAGCAACACCA